AGCCCAGAGGGTGACCCATGCTCTATTACAATTTACCATATACTCAATTTGTCCACTTTTTCATTTACAAATCAGAGAAACCTAACTCAAAGTGATTCACTCAAAGTTCACATATTGAAAAATCCAGAGATAGTTCTAACTTCTCATTCGGGCTCTAGATAGGACTGGATCCAGATACTCAAACACTATCATTCTTTTTCTCTGACTCAACTCCACCATCTGTCACAAAGGCAAATTTCCCAGGAAGGTTTTCAAGTGAAGTGAAAGAATTGGTGACCAGCAGCTCCACTCAGCAATCCCAGCTACAGAAAATACTTCATGCACGAGTTCCAGAACAATACGGCTCACCTCCATTTGGACTGACTTGGAGAAGTGTCCCCCTCCACTGAAACTGAACTAAGGGTGAAAGAGCAGAAGGTAGTTCTCCAAAGGAAAGTAAGTGGTATAGAGAGAAACAAATGTATTTTTGTGGAAAATATATATATATACACACATATATATGTGAAAAAAACACTTCATAAAATATTTTGTCATTAATATAGTAATAACATTATAGTAATATATAGTAATAACTATAGTAATAACATTAGTAATAACTATAGTAATAACTATAGTAATAACATTAACAGTATCAAGTTAAAACACACTACAACATAATCGCATTTGGATCACATAAGACTCTCTAAGGTAGATACTTACACCCATTTCATGGTTGAGTAAATCAAATCTAAAGTCATCCCCATCAAGAAGCAGAAATAGATTAGGTACCCAGGAGATAAATTAATCATTTCTTCAAAAGGATCAGATTATTCAAAATGAAATCTCTAAAAAGTCATAGGAAATTAAGAAAATGGGTGATGAAAACATTCTTTAAAATGTAAATAGGGCCTCCCTGGTGGCACAAAGGGTTAAGAAGCAACCTATGAAGCTGTCTGCAGCCTCTGCAGCAAGAGTTTGATCCTGACCAGGGAGCTACCCACATGGTACAGCAGATATCTCCTGACTCGCCCGCTGCTCCCCTCAGCAGTGTGTTTCAGCCACTCTCCCTGTCTGTTCCCCACTCTGTCTCTGGTGAATCCTCTCACTCCCCCACATCTCTAGCCTGTACCCCAATTCCTGTATGTATAAATAAACAAATCTTTTAAAAAATGTAAAAAATTAAAAAATGAATTCTCCATATACTTGATTTTAAAGATGATTGTAATCCAGGTCAACAAAAGTTCTTCTTAAATGCTTAAATAATAAATCCAGTTTTAATCAGTAACAGCCCAAAGTATGAACACAGTGACTAATAAGTGTCACCATTTTAGGATAACCAATTTATGTCCTCCATGGATTTCATTACAAGAAGTTGTTTTTAAGAAAATGGCTCTCCAGGACCTCCCCTGGTGACACAGGCGGTTGAGCGCAGTGCTATGAAGCTGTCCGCAGCCTCTGCAGCACCAGTTCGATCCCAGCCGGCGAGGGTCCCACATGGCACAGCAGACCTCTCCTGTCTCGCCCACTGCTCCCCTCAGCAGTGTATTTCATCAGTCTGCCTGTTCTGTTCCCAGCTCTGGTGAATCCTCTCACTCCCCTGTGCATCTGGCCTATATTCCGGCTCTCGTATAAATAAAAAATAAATCTTTAAAAAAGAAAGAAAGAAACTGGCTCTCCAATTTGTTTACAGATAGTCTTTGATTTTTAAAAAATGTATAAAAAATAATTCCTATCTCTAGAAAACAACTTGAAAAAAAACTAATGATCTTATTCCACAATACCACAATCCTTAATATTCATTGCATTATTTTTTGACCACACAGCTCAGCTTTCCAGTCCAGGCCAACAGTGAGCCAAAACTGCCAAAACTCTCCTCCAACCTCCAGGCCGATATTTCCCCATATTTCAATTATTTTCCTTGTTCATGATCCTTCAGTTCCTGACATGTTCTTAACACGTTCTCAAATATTTCTCAATACAATCAAACAAATCGGATAAAGTTCTACTCTGTGCAAGGCACTAGGAAGCCAAACTTGCAGAGACAGTCTTTAACCTCAAGAGACCCTATCGTCCAGGAGTGAAGAGAGATATACCTTGCGTCTCTTTTTTCTCCTCTGTCTCTCTGTTCTTTCTTCATTACCTATTTCTCTGCCTTAAGAGAAACAGAGGGAGTAAAATCCATCTATTTCTCCAGTAGTGAAGCCTAGCACTGGCCCAAGAGGAAAGGCATCTTTTACTCAGGTAAAAGTGTTGCACAAAGGTGCCATATGTGATAAGAATGGTCTCCCTTCCCTCTCTGCTCCATCCTTGCTTCCATCATCATTGACCACTATCTTTGTAGGTTTTAGATATGCAAAGTTGACCAAGACAGGATTTCTATACTCATGAATATTACAGCACAGTGAGAAATAGGAACAGATAAAGCATAATACAAGGACAAAAATGCAGTAATATAAATATGTAAGTGAGGTAGCACAAAAAGAACTATTAACTCAACCTAAAGACAGAGAGGAAGAAAGTGGTCAGAAGAATCCATATCTGAACTGGTTTTGAAATGTCAACTGGCATTTGCTGAACATACAGGAGAGAAAAGCAATCAGGTGGAGGAGTAGAATATACACAAAAGGCTCAGAGGTATGAAACACTACTGTAAATCATATTTGTTCTAACTTTATGGAAATTCTCTACTTCACTCCAAATGGTTCCACAGATGAAAATCAGCTTTGAATAAAGATTCTAAAACTCTATTATTTTCTATCTTCAAGAAAAAATAATGTTACTATAGCATCAATAAGTAGATTTCATGTAGAATCTACCTCTACAGAGGTAAAATTATACAGCATTAGAATTAGCTCCTAATTTAAGACCAGGCAGGGGTCAAGTGAAAAGCAGAAAAAATTTCATTTCAGAACAGAGCCTAAGCAGAAAAATAAAAATCTATTATTAAAAATTTTAAGGCCGTTTCTGTGTTTGCATCTCACTGTCAACCTGCCTGTTTATTACCCAATTGCTGTGTCTCTGCCCTGCTTTCCAGGTGTATGAAGACAGCTTTCGTGAACAGATCTCTGTGCATCTTAGCAAAGCATGGACGGAGATTACTGACCATAACTGTCTGTGGGTCAATTCAGAACTGAGAAATGTTTGCTTAGGAAAGTGCAAGGGTGGTGGTGCCAACACAAAAGTTAACCCACCCATTTCTTCACACGACAAGTGGGTTCTCCTGAAGTGTGGTCTTGAGGTCATTTGTGGGCCAGCAAAGAGGATGAATGCATGGTTGATTTTATGAGGACTGCCAAGAGATAAGGAGCAGGCTGCAGCTTTAACTGCTACAAGGTCAAATACTTGACCAAAAGTGAAAACAAAAATGAAGGAAGCAGAATGTTGCCAATGACAGGAAAAGAAAGAACGAGAGATCTCCTAAAATAATACAATATAAAAGATAGACTGAAAAGTAACTGTACTAAGGTCACTTTATGAATCTTTGTGTGGTTTCCATTCTGTCCTTTTATGATCATCTCAAGTAACTAAGTACATATGGCATGTTTGTAAGTAAAGCAGTCGATGGAGTTAGTTACACCTCTGCATTTATTACCATGCCCCTGAGTATTATTAACTTTTACACTCCCCATAAAATATAATTTATCACTTAAATAATTTGCTTTGTGTCAGGGTTCAGTGTGCTCCAGTGCTTTCCTGCTCATTAAATGAGATATTTTTACTTAATGAGCCAAGGATGTCCTTTGTATTTAACATTTGAATTGATTTCTAACACTTAATTTTTATAATAGTTTGGTGTGTGATTCCAAAAAATGGAGGTTTCATTTCACAATGCCAAAGGAAAACAATCAGAAAATTGTTAAGTACATGTGGCATTTTAAGTGATAAGAAATGGTTTTATCCTTAACTAACCACAAAGACTGAGCGAATACAAATCATAAAAGAGTGTAATTATGAAATAATTATTTCTTTACACTAGCAAGCAAACTGAGGAATTTGGAACTGAAGTATCTATTGATTGTTTAAAATAAAACTTCACTCTCAGCCAATCAAAAAAATAGTTATGATCGGATGTGAAATGCAGAGTCAAGTCAGCTGCCATGGCAACAGAGCCGCTGGAATGGTTTCCAGCTCTGTAACCACTACCTTCTGATTAGGGATTGTCCACAGGACAAAAACAACTGACTGCTTGGACCTTTTTTCCATTTAACAAACACAAACTTGAGAATTTAAATCCTATATTTTCTCTGTCATTTTCCTGTCCTTTAATAGTCTAAGCAACTGAGGATACTTACTATCACCAGGCAGGGGGAAAGGAGAAAAAAAATGAAAGAGAACTTTAATCTGAGCACAAAATCAGAAATGTTACATTTATGCAAATTAATTAGAATTCACAACATATACAAATATTGTATGTGTGTCTTAATGTGAAGTTTCTATTTGGGATAAGAGCACACTGAATTTAAGATTTATTAAATACATATTATTATCTTTAAATAGCTATGAGTGAGTATACCATTCCAATACAGCACAGAATCAGTAGGGAAAGCAAGATTTTAAAGATCTGAGAATGAAACAAATACTCATTTTCATTTTATAGTTTAGAGAATTTAAGTACTTTTTCTTTGTTTCTTACTCCAACTTGTCTCTCATTCTAGATTCTTCACCTATTCTTTCAGACCCATTAAAATGGACTGACCTGCTGACATCTATGCCCACAGAACAACTAGACTGATTAACCTTGGAACATCAGGGCAGGAGTACTGCAAAATGGGGCGGAAAACATTTCCATGATTACTAGGAAGTAATACTAGTATAGTCCTCATTTATAGATTTCCAACTCACATTAACATTTTAAAAACTATAAGAGATCCTACAGGGAAAAAAAATGTGCTTATCCCAGAGTTTCTCAAACTTACTCGTTTTCATAAACTTTTGGTCTGGTCTCGCCAGTGAACATCCCTTTGAACCAGAGTTTCCTCCACATAAACCCAAGGATTGGCTGTCTCTTTGAATGTGCTTACCAGAATGGCGCCTCCTGGAGTTGTGCTGGGGGTTTATGCCCAATCTCACGTCACATCTCTCTAACCTTGAGGTTTGCTCTGTGTGTGTCCTGTATATAATACAGAAATCAATTACTTTATGTTTCACCAGAGAAATGAATAAAGTATTTTAAAAAATGAAAGGTAAATTTAATTTAAAGAAAAGTTTAAATTGTGAAATATTTCAAAGAAATGCAAATTTAGATTTGAAAGGACATAGTTTATACCTTTGGGATTCCATACTCTGCTATCTAAACTTAATAAAGTAATAGTGATTATTTAAAATATTATATATTTTCAATTAATTTATTAATAACAATATTATTCATTTTCCAAATTACCCAGGTTATGTAGTATTAAATCCAATTAAACATAATCCAAAATAATAATAATTTAGTAACTCCTGATAACTTGGCCAAATGCATATCAAAGAAAAACAGGGCATTTATAAATGAATCCTTTTTAAAAACTGATTTGTATCATAATTCCTTTGGTCATCAACGAAGCAATTTTCAAATGTAAAGCGTGGCATCGAATGCCATGTTAAAATGGCTTATAATAGTGTAGTTCTACAAAGTGAAGATTGGTTCAAAAAATCAGTTTTCTAATATATTTGAATTTTGTCAATTGGTTATGTTATAGGACAGGGAGAGGGTCAGCCCAAGCCCCGCAAACCTGCCTATTCTAAATGGGTTCTGCCATCCGCCGCATCAACACAAAACATAGGAGACTTTAATGGGAAGGAACTTTAATAAAACTAGGAAACAATACAGGTAAGGCAAAGAGTCTAGTTTCTAAATGAAGCACCCAAAGTTACCCGTCCCCTCGTGGGTAAAAGTCCATCCATATGGGATTGGCCCAGAACAAGGCCCCAAAGCCTGCTACAAGTCTAAAGCATCTTCCAGTGGGGACCCACAGAAAAGGGTCACAAACAACTGGACAAGCCCGGAAGGAAAAGAGCAAAATCAACATCAAGATAAAAGCTGCCATTGTCACCTCCCCACGGGTCTCACCCACATCTGTGTCACATAGTCCACGACCCAAAGACAAGCGCAGTTTCTTCACGTGTCTCTAGGCTCCATGTGCCTCCTCCAGGTCTCCTGGCTCCATGCTGCTTCCTTCCTCAGTCTCTTCCGCAGCTTCTCCTCTTCCTGCTCAGCTCCACCCTTCCTTGGGTGGGGCAGGGAACCTCCCCCTTTCCTGGAGACCACCCTGTTACAGTTACATCTTTTTCTTTTCATTAAATAATGTACACAATGTTTAAAATACAGTATGAATGACATACTATAAATGTATGTCATCAGAAAAGCACAAGGACTATATGTCCCTGCCCACAAAGGCAACCTGATCTCTTGTCTCTCCTTAATTTCTTTATCCTCTAACAAAACCAACACATTTCCAGGAAGCCTTTCCTGAATAACTCCTCTCCTCCAAGCTGCACTGCGGGCCCAATCTTTAATTCTCATAGATAGCACACGGACACACAAACACACACACACACAGAGACCCACAACTCTCTTTTACTCACTTCTCAAATTTTATAATTAGTTCTTTATCGTTCCTCATGGAAGCTCAAAAACCATCAGCAAGTTCTCAGCAACATTCTGCATGTAGCTTTCAGGTGCAGATGAGCTGATGAAGGAAGAAGAGGCTAATTCTTTAGCACACCCTCCACTCAGCTTCTTTCCTGCTGTTACCTTTGGAGCATGTAGTGGCAGGAAGGGCACAGAGCAGGTTTCTATGATTGGCAAGCGACTAAAGCAGAGTCCTGGAGCCCTCGGTGGCTTTCTCAGGCTTTTATTGAGCTTTTACATGTACAGCAACCAGGTAGACAGCAGGTAGGGGTGCCGGGGGCCAGGAAGCTGGTAGGCCTCAATGTCCCCTGCACGTCTTCACTCTGGGCTTCTCTGGCCTTCTTTCTCCCTTTCTCTCTCCTGCCTCTGCTTCTCTTGGGGAATACCTCAATACTGCTGCTGTGGCCCACAGAAGTAAACAATATAACAATGTAACAAAATGCAGGTGCCCCATCAAGCAGGGCAATGCTAATTGCTGGAGGGCAGAAAAGCCCAGCTCCATGTGAAACCAGTTCTTCCAAGGAAAACAAACACCACCATATTGTGGCAGCATTGCTGCAGGTACAAAGGCGGTGGTGAGATCTGACTATGGAAAAGGTGGACAGTGTCACAATACCAACCTGGTTCTGCTCACTCATCCCCTAAGATGCAGACCCCAGTCTGGCAGGTGCAGTGACTATGAAACACAGGGGGAATCAGGGGATGTTTATACGCCAAGTGCCACAGAATATCACAGTATTTCATTCTCACATAGATGAAAATATAGTTTATGATACTTGAAAACAAACTTTACAAGTAACACAGAATTTTGCCAAACAGATAAAGTTGAATTAATTATTCTCACAATAGTCCATCATTAACCAAGTAATGCTAATTCAAATCAGATATTTTATATCATTAAAACATCCACAAGCAAGTTTGTTTTATGTAACAGTTAAGCAAGCCTGTAGAGAGTGTAAGCTCAAGGGAACAGAAAGTGAAAATACTGTCTTAGCAGCATGAATTAAATTAATTAAACAAGCATTAATGCCTCCAAGCAGTTGCATACTTCGCTTCAAACCTTTGGTGGGAAAACCTATCATTTACATGTTCAATCATTTTAATATTTTCTATGACTATAGACAGTAGCTGTGTTAGCTGATGCTATAAACAAAAGATAAGTTGAAAACACATGCTATAATAATTAAAATGTTATTATGCTGACACCATCTTTCTTCTAGGATCTTGTAACATCTGTATTGACTGTGATAAGCATTGATTATCTGGAGTGATGTAAATATTTGGGGAGTTAATAACAATCAGGAATTCAATGCCTGCTAAGACACCAAAGATAAATCACAGGAAATTCAGATCAAAGCAGGTTTGTGAATAAGCTTGTTTTTATAGTTAATGACTAACTATAAAGTGCATGTACACATTTCTTTTCTCCAATGAAATGCACAAGGAAATGTCATAAAGAAACATCCCGTCGTGTGCAGCATTTCTGTACATCTGTTGAATTTCCATATGTAGAGAGGAGGATGTCAACACAGCACTACAAAGACGGAATTGATCCAATCCATCAAGTACTTAACATGCACTTTTAAAATCATTAAAAAGTTCTTTGAATTATTAAGACCTTTTTTCAAAAGAAAAAAACCCCACAACTTATAAATCTTGCATTTCCTGAGAGGTTAATTTAAGGATGCTGGGGTCAGCAGCAAGCCAGTTCAAGTGAAGATTCTGAAATTCCCCTTAAGTATCGCCTGACACTGAGTCACTTTTTACTTAAAAGAAACCTCCCGCAACCTCACCCACCAGACATTTTACATCCCCTTGAACTGTATTTTGAAGAGTGAACATGGGCTGAGAGTCCCACACTGGGTCTTTGTCACAACGGGTACAGCCAGCACTGCACATAGTGCATGGCTGGGTCACAGCTTTGCAGAAGAAACCAACCCAGTTTCATCTAAAAGCCACAATGACCCACCTCCTCCTGGCTCTCAGCCTCCTCTATTTCTGGTGAGTGTCTTTCTGAGCTACTTACAGTTTCCCGACCCCACACACCACAGGAGCCCCTACACCTGCAGCACACATACCTCTTCTGCCTGTTACTTATGTCTCTCGGTCCACCAGAAGGGGACTCAGCCTGATATCCTTTGGGAGGTCTTTTCTGATGCCATGCACTTTGAGTCAAGTGTATTTTCAAGGCATGGTCACAGCACCCTGTGATCAAAATGTTTGATCACTTGATCAAAATGTTCACCACATTACAGTGAAATGGCCAATTTGCCTTATCTACTCTCCACAAGTCAGTGAGCTCGGTGAAGCAGGAGCCAATCTTCACTCGATCTTCAGATTCCCAGGGTACAGCATAGAGCATCTATTCAACCTATGCCCAAAGGACGGGGAAAGAAGTCAATACCACATGCATCCTCATGGTGTAATTTGACTCTGAGAAAGGCCCTGTCATGGGTGTCCCACATCCAGAACAGATTTAGGATTTACTCTATGCAAGGTTTAGAGATCCAGAGTGTTTCAGACTAATCCTAACCCTTTAGAATGGGTCTAGATATTTGTGAGTTCTAGGAGCAAAGTGAGCAGTTAACAGGAAAATTTAAATCAGCCTAGATTGATAGCCTCAATCAAAGCTAGTAGGTAGCCACATGATAATTAATATTTTCCAAAAAACATGATCTAGTAAAATGCTTTCCCCATGTGGATGCTTCTACTCCTGAGTGTCTACTCCAGAGGAGAGGATGGGGAAGAGGGGGTTGAGGGGGCAGGGAACATGTCCACAGTAAGACATATACTAGAGTGTTAAAAATCATTCTGTTATTAATAGCCAGAAATTGGAAACAGTCCACATGTTCTTCAACAGGACATTGGCCAAATTCTCTGTGATGAGTTTATAGAATAAAATACTACTTGGCAGTAAAAATGGAACAAACTACTGATACACTCAAATCTTTCAAACATGCTGAGTGAAAGCAACCTTACAAAAAAGATGTACATAATGTGTGATTCTATATCCTAAAAGAGAAAAAAGTACTCTGTGGTGAAAAGAAATCAGAACAACAGTTACTGTTCTGGTCATGAAGAGAGTTTCTAGAGTCATAACCATGTTTTATTTTTTTTAAATATATTTATTTATGTATACAAGAGCTGGGGTACAGGCCAGAGGTGCAGGGGGTGAGAGGATTCACCAGGGACAGAGCAGGGAACAGAACAGGCAGACTAGACTGACTGAAATACACTGCTGAGGGGAGCAGCCGGCAAGCCAGGAGAGATCTGCTGTGCCACGTGGGTAGCTCCCTGGCCAGCCCAAGGATCAAACTCCCACTGCATAGGCTGCGGACAGCTTCACGGCACTGCGCTTAACCCCTTGTGCCACCAAGGAGGCCCCCATAACCATGTATAACCATGTTTTATATCTTATACAAATGCAATCTGTGTAATCTATAAATTGCACAGGTAGGGCCTCCCCGGTGGCGCAGCGGTTGAGCGCTGGGTTGTGAAGATGCCCGCAGCCTCTACAGTGCCGGTTCGATCCCCGGCTGCTCCCCGGCCACCGGAGGAGGGTCCCACATGGCGCGCAGACCTCTTCTGCCACCCGCTGCTCCCCTCAGCAGTGTACTTGGGTCCTTCTACCTGCTCTGCTCCCCGCTCTGGCTCAGTGAATTCTCTCACCCTCCCGGCTTCTGATTGTACCCAGTGCTTGTATAAATAAATAAACAAATAAATCTTAAAAAAAAATTGCACAGGTATTTTGGTGTTTTAAATATATCAAATAGTATGCTTAAGATTTGTGCATTTCAATATATGATTTTTATCTTAGAATTAGGATAAATAAATGAGTTTATGATATACCTGCTGACATGTTTAGAAGTGAATGCCCAATGTTTTTAACCTCCTTTGAAATATAACAAAGATAAGATGGATAAAGGGATGGTAAGATACAGAGCTATATGATAAAATAAATATAGCAATATGTCCATTGTAGACTCTAAGTAATAGGTATGCTGTACTCAAAGCTTTTCTAATATTGAATATTAAGTATACATGCCAAGTTTCCCAACCCAGAAATTCAGGGGTTGGAGTGGGGAACTGATGTGTGAACCTGCCATTTATCTATGTTTTGGTTAACCTGCCAAGTGATTTTATATAACTACAGGTTTATGGGATTAGTACTTAGAGCCTCCTGAACGATGATTCAATCTAAAAATAATCTTGAGAACCCACGCTTCCTCATCCTCAAATTTTTTCTCCTATCTATCATAAATTAGTTCCTGAGATTCTACCAAGATAGACTCTCTCCATGAGGAAGAAATAAGTCAATAATGCAATAATTTATCCAAAATCACAAAAAATATGTAATAGAACTTTTCCAACTGGCGACTTTTGAATATACATTTTTGGAGACAGGATGGCAGACCAAGAATGGAAAAATCAAAGAGCATGAAAGCATATGAAAATTCCCAGGATAATCCTGCTTCCTCTCATTGGGGCCTGAAAGGTAACAACACACAGTGAAATAACTAACACTGCTACTGCTGGTGTCCTGAAGAAAAGCTATTTTGTCCTTCTGGGCTTCAATTATTTCTGCTGTGAAAGACCAAAACCATGGCTCTACAACAGATAAAATACAGATTGCTTAATTAAATGTGAATGTTGGATAAACAGTGAATTTTTTTTTGGTGTATGTTCTTACAGTTGTATGTGCATCCTTAGAGTTTAAAAAAAAACAACATGATTTACCTGATATTCCAATTTAGCTGAACATCATTTTGTTATTGTCCACTTCTTGCTAAATGACAGCCCTGCCCTAAGGGGATGAAAATATTCTGGGCTTTAGCCCAGAATCACTGCTACTTTGTTGAAAAATACCTTAAGATTGTGAAATCAGAGACTCCTTTTGAAAAATGTAACTACTGGGTGTGCAAAAGATCTCAGAGTTCAGTGCAAATAGCATTTTCACACACCATTCATTCAGATGAAACATCTGGTTTTCCTGGAGATCAATGCTTGAGACTTCAGAAAGTTTACTGTGTCCCCTTTAAAGGATTAGTAGGTGCTCCCTCACACAACTTGGAGAAGTACTGCTTTAGCTGAGCCCAGCCCCAACCAAATGCCTCCAGCCCAACTTAGTGCAAAGGCAAAAACAAGACACTTCCTACCTGTCTGAAGGTACAGAGTGTTTGAATGACAGACATTAAATACCCGATCAGGAGTCTGGAAGAGGACACTGGTGCTAACTGAATACTCCATAGTTTTATTTAAAATTGTATGTGAGCAACAACAAATGTTGGTGAGGATGTGGTGAAAAAGGAACTCTCCTGCATTGCTGGTTGGAGTGCAAACTGGTCCAACCACTATGGAAAGCTGTCTGGAGATTCCTCAGTCTACTAAAAATGGAGCTACCATATGACCCGGCAATTCCACTACTAGGGATCTACCCAAAGGACATAAAAACATTGATTCAAAAGAACACCCGTACCCCTATGTTTATTGCAGCACTATTGACAATAGGCAAAATAGGCAAAATCTGGAAACAACCCAAATGCCCCAAAATAGATGACTGGATCAAGAAGATGTGGTATATATACACAATGGAATATCATTCAGCACTCAAAAAAAATAAACTCATGTCATTTGCAGCAACATGGATGGAACTAGAAGGAATTATGCTCAGTGAAATAAGCCAGAAGGAAAAAGAAAAATATCGGATGGTTTCACTTATAGCAGGAATATAGAGGAACCCAATAAGACATCAGTGTAAAAAAAATAATAACAGTACAAAACACAACAAAGCAAAAATGGACAATTATAAATCAGAGACCTACTGCAGGGGAGAATGTGGGGGAAAGGAATCAGAAGGAGGGACGGAATAGCACAGGGGACTGAGGTGATGGTGCATGGGTGCATTGGTAAAGGAAACTCTGTGGGGACTACACCTGAGGGGTTGGGGAAGCAAATATTGTTTAAAAATGAACAATGAGGACCTCCCCGGTGGCTCAGCGGTTGAGCGCTGGGTTGTGAAGCTGCCGCAGCCTCTGCAGCGCCGGTTCGATCCCTGGCTGCTCCCCGGCCACCAGAGGAGGGTCCCGCATGGCGGGCAGACCTCTCCTGCTGCCCGCTGCTCCCCTCAGCAGTGTACTTGGGTCCTTCTGCCTGCTCTGCTCCCTGCTCTGGCTCTGGTGAATTCTCTCACCCTCCCGCGCTTCTGACTGTACCCAGTGCTTGTATAAATAAATAAATAAAAATAAACCTTAAAAAAAATAAAAATAAAAATAAAAATTAACAATGATGTAAAAAATAAAAAAAAATTGATATTAAAAAAAAATTTAAATAAAATTCTATGTGAAATGATCATGGATGAAAAATGAGGTTTCCCTAAAATGGTATAAATCTATTTTGTAAGAAAGGGGGTGGGAAACAGAGACAGCCAAAAGCTATCTGCTTGGGCATTCAGCGTCAAAGTGGACAAGTTAACTATTTCATATTTAAAACTAAATCAGGTACCAAATTTAAAGGCCTCCAGAGCAGGGTTCAGAACACAATTGTGTGGCTTATTTATCCTATAAACACTGATCATTGCAAAGGAAATTTAAACAGAATTGAAGTAAAAAGAAGCTGTACCATCAAAGACATCTTTACAGACACATCACCCAAAGCAGTGATAGTGAAAGCAAAGATAAATAGCTGGGACTACATCAAATTAAAGAGCTTCTGCACAGCAAAAGAGACAATAACCAAAACAAAGCGAAACCCCACCAAATGGGAGAACATTTTTGCATACAACACTAATGATAAAGGACTGATCACAAAAATCTACAAAGAGCTGATGAGACTCAACAAAAACAAAGAAAATAATCCAGTCAAAAAATGGGCAGAAGAGCTAAAAAGAAACTTCTCTGAAGAGGAAATGCAAATGGCCAACAGGCATATGAAAAAATGTTCAACATCACTTGTAATCAGGGAAATGCAAATCAAAACTACCATGACATACCATCTCACACCATTGAGAATGGCACACATTAAAAAAACTAGCAACAACAAATGTTGGCAAGGTTGTGGAGAAAAAGGAACTCTCCTGCACTGTTGGTGGGAGTGCAAACTGGTCCAACCACTATGTAGAGCTGTGTGGAGATTTCTGGACCTACTAAACATAGCTTCCATATGATCCGGCAATTCCACTCCTAGGTATTTTCCCAAATGACACAGAAACAGTAATACCAAAGGGCACCTGCATGCCTATGTTTATAGCAGCGCTGTTTACAATAGCTAAGCAATGGAAACAACCCAAATGCCCAAAATTAGATGACTGGATCAAGAAGATGTGGTACATATACACCATGGAGTATTACTCAGCATTCAAAAAAGATAAACACATGCAGTTTGCAGCAACATGGATGGCGCTGGAAGGGATCATGCTCAGCGAAATAAGCCAGAAAGAAAAAGAAAAATACCAGATGGTCTCACTCATTGCAGGAATCTAGCAAACCTAAATAAGGGACCAGGAAAAAGACTAAGCAATACAAAGTCAAAATCAAAATCAACAAGCAACTATAAACCAGAGACACACTAAGTGGGGGGGGAAGGCAAGGAAAGGAAGGACTAGAGTCAAAATAAGGGGGGAGGTGCAATTGTATGGGGAATATAACTAAAATGAAATGCATACATTGTGCAAAGATGAAAAAAGATTTAAGAATTATATAAAATGAAATATTTAAATAAATTTTAAAAAGCTAATTCAAAGGGAAAAAAAAAAATCTGTACCAGATAATAGCTGACCTTCAGAGTATACACCGTCAGTTTCTTCCAGGCTCCCTGTGTTCTGCCCCCTGCGTGGTAGGCAAGAATTTTGAGTCGGGAATGGGTGACGTTATCGCACTGGTTTTTGAAATCTTGCCTACATGCCAGCTGAGGTCAGACCTAAAGAAACAAAAGTGTTTACCTTAATGCAATCTTGTCTTCACATACTCATCAGCACAAATTTCATGCATATTTTCTACAGACATTTTAAATTCATTGTCCCTTCTTTAAGACACAATACACTGTCTCACACTGTTTTAATTTCTTAGCTATCCATAGTTCATTCTACCCACTTGGCTGTCTCCATTTAAGCTTTTAATTTTTCTTTTTTTTAAAGACTGTGTATTAACTTCTCTTTCTATAACCCCTACACAGCTTTTCCTTGCTCACTGTAACAGTTTGTACTATGCTGAGGCACCAGAATTGTGTCTTTACTCATTATCTCGTCCTTGTTGTTTTGTTTTGTTTTGTTTTTTTCAGACTTGTGGCCTCTGAAATTTTTCAAAACAGCTCAGGGCCTAAAAAGACATCTTTACAATAGCATAAACTACTGCTCTGTAGACCCAACAATGGATGTTTATTGCACCTTACAAAACTACTTTAATTACCTTCAGATTACTGGGTTTATTGAAATAGATTCATTCTCATTTAAGAATGCCTGTGGACATTTACAAAGAGTCTTTACAATGTAGTATTCTATGAAGAATGACTATATTTTTCCCTGTTTATATATATAAAAAATGAAAGAGATAGATTATGTTAAATTTAAAAATATTCTAGGTATTAATATAACACAAAGGCTTTATGATTATATATAATGTGAGGCAAAAGCCTGGTATCTTAAGACTTAATTTTGCCTCAGTGGGTCCTTTCTGGCCTTTTTCCCACACAGCAACTACACTGTCATAATCAGGTTAATACAGATCAGTCCACTGAGTTTGCCCAAGCCCAAGTTTATGCTGACCATTTACATAGAAATAATATAATGTATATGTATTTATTTATCCTTGGCATCAACTGAAAAGAAAAAACATTTGAGTGATCTCCATGACTTGAGTATATACTGCACATTACTGCAAAAAAATAAATGCAATTATTTCAAATTTTTACTTTATAAATAAAAATAATTTAGCTAATGTTCATTGAGAAGTTACTATGTCAGACACAATGCTAAATGTTTCATTTGCATTATGTTATTTAACATTGACAACAACTCTATGAAGGACGTATTTTTTACCCCTAGTCTACAAATAAGAAAATTGAGTTACAGGGAAATTAAACAACTTATCAAAAATTCAAAGCAAGTGGCATAGTCAGAATTCAAACCCAGAACTCAAAAGTTCCTATGCACTTGATTATTTTTTAATTATATATTTTTTAAATTTTATGTATGTATGTATATATGTGTATATGTATATATAGAGAAGTATATACATATATACAGATATATATGAGATTATCTTTTAATTATAATACAGTCAATACTTTGGTTTGCTAATATGTGATATTACAAATGCATTCATTTATATTTTATATAAAGAAGAAATATTGATAATGCTAAAAGATATCAAACTTTCCTTACATCTTCAAAACTCTATGACTTTAATACTCTAATCAAAAATAAAATGAGGGCCTCCCCGGTGGCGCAGTGGGTTGAGCACAGTGCTGTGAAGCTTTCTGCAGCCTCTGCAGCACAGGTTCGATTCCCAGCCAGCCAGGGAGATACCCACATGGCGTGGCAGACCTCTCCCGTCTTGCCTGCTGTCCCCTCAGCAGTGTTTTTGGTCATCTGCCTGTTGTGCTCCCTGCTCTGTCTCTGGTGAATTCTCTCATCCTTCCATGCCTCTGGCCTATACCCCAGTTCTTGTATAAATAAATAAATCTTTAAAAAATATATAATGTGTCTCATTTCACTTAAAAGAATCTCCATGGTGGGCCTCCCCTGTGGCGCAGCAGGTTGAGTGCTGTGTTGTGAAGCTGCCTGCAGCCTCTGCAGCGTGGGTTCAATTCCTGGCCTGCCATGGATATACCCACATGGCGTGGCAGACCTCTCCTGCCTTGCCCACTGATTCCCTCGGCACTGTCTTCGGTCCATCCACCTGTTCTATTCCCTGCTCTATCTCTGGTGAATTCTTTCACCCTCCTGTGCCTCTGACTGTACCCCAGTTCTTGTATAAGTAAATAAATCTTTAAAAAAAAAGAATCTCCATGGATGTGTGAGTATAATAATCTTTTCTGGTCACATTCACCGTTCTATGAATTAAAATAAATTCCAGGACTTGCACACATAGTCATGCAAAAAAAAAAAAAAATGTGTGCTGGGCCCATAAAATAAATTCCACCTTAGATGAGGACCTGTGTTTGTTTTTGTTGTTTTTTTTTTTTCCTATGTGTGCACAAGGCATATGGCATAGATTGCTCAATTAAGTAAATACAAATGATTGGGAGAGATGAAATGTGCCCCTTGGTGAGAAATCACCATTTAACACTGTCATCCTGAGCTGACTTTTCTACTTTTTAACAGTTAACAAGTCAACTGAGATGAGAAATTCTTCAATGAAGGTAAAATGTTGATTTTGTCCTAAGCACAATCTACATACTCCTTTTCCAAATTTTTCTCTTAAGACATAAGGAATTGAAGACTTCCTTAATATACAAAATACAAAATTCAAGTATGTCAACCTAAGAGTTTAACTGAAATTAGTTTTCAGATCTTTAGAGTCACATCCAAAATTACATTGGGGTGTTTTACAGAGAGATTCATTCTCCCTTTTGCATTACATTCCCTGATAGAAATTTGACGGACACTAGACTTTCTAATTTCTAATAAATAGTTTCACAGTCTGAGGAAAAGTCGTGAAGTCAGATTCCTTCTCCAGCCACTTCTCTAAGTTTCTGTCCTCTGCAGCATTTCCTCTACAACCAGCTCTCCTGATTTATTTCATCCCATCTCTTCACTGATAGAGATAAGCAACACAATAAATGAATTCACGACATGGTTACTAACCTCAGGTGATGCATCCTGTTGGGGAGACAATATTGGCACTAAGGTTCTGAATAGGGAAGCATTTGGGGATAAGAGAGTTTAAATCAAAATGGTTTCTACAACCTTATATTATTCCTGCTGGGATCAGCCAGCATTGATAAATAACTTGAGTCAATATCTACCTCCTTCCCTTATAGTAGTGGAAGAGAGAAAAAAAATTGTCTTCAATATTTCAAACAGAAATCAAAGTCCAAGGAATTTGAAGAGAGTAGAAGCCCTTACTTGGACTTCATTCTAAATAAAGTAAGAAACCCACCAAAAGCAGAAGCAAAATTAACGAATCCCATTGCAATGTTGGCAGCCTTAAGGAAGGGATGAAGAGAACCAGATGTCTCTCTCACACATTCCTATTGCGAGCTTCTAAAGCTCTTCAAACAGGAGCCCAGACAGCCCCCAGAGAAGGGCACCCCCACGGCAGAGTGATTAGTAAAAAACTGTCAAGTACAGAGGATAAAATATGATTGTAAGTGAAATAAAAATTATAAATTTCAACTCTAAGAGGTTTCCTTGTATTTTTAAATGGATGATAATGAGTAACAAATTGCTCTGATATTTAGATACCATAGGATACATTTAAAAGAATGATGAAGCAATTTGTTTCAGTTTTATAGTTACCACTTTCTCCTAACTGATCTTGAAAGCAAATCAGTCAAGGGATCACTCCTGTACTTCTTTCCCACCTTTTTTGCACCATTACCCTTTGCCATCTGGACAAAAGAAAGGCATGCCTCTTGCCCTTTCTCAATCTTATCTGCCACATTGTCCCCAAGGAATGAATTTTTTGAGGTGGCAGAGGATGTATGTCCATTAAGTCTCTCAGTCTGTGCCTCAATTTTGCATGTTTGCAAGGTAGTAACAAGTTTTATTTTGACTTTTCCTAGCTCAACATTAGTTCTTGGGTACAAGGAACACATGTCAGAGGTTATATTTCCTTGATCATATATTCAAATTCATAAATGAAACGTTTTCATTACTTTTCAAAAATATTGTATAGCATAGTTATCTTCACATTGTATCCCTTGTGATCTCAACAAAAAAAGTTCAGCAGAGAGCTCAGAAATATTTTAGCATCTTTCTCTCCAACTCTCATAAATTCCCATCTTCTTATATTAAAAATAGCGCATTGAAATTATTTAAAGAAATATTAAATAGCAAAATTAAAATTATTTAAATCCCATAACCCTACTGCCTTAATACAACTCTTAGTTTTCATACATTATTCACAATGAGCATCCACAGTTCACTTAGATGAACTTATAGTCTACAGTCTACACTCTGGAATTATAGAAATGTTTTAAACGAAATCAAGTACAAAGAAAACAATTTTACCATGTCATATGATGTTGACACTTTTTATTTTCTACCAGTTTTTTCTCTATGTACACATATTTTATGTTAACAGACACAAGACTCACAATCAGTATCATTTGTGCTTATGTTATATTTAAATTTCCTTCCTTTTCAGGGTCTCCCTGGTAGTGCAAGGTGTTGTCTTAGTACTATGACGCTATTGGCAGCCAGTGCAGCATGAGTTCAATCCCCGGCCAGGAAGGTGACCCACATAGCGCAGCAGACTTCTCCTCCCTCGCCTGCTGCTCCCCTCAGCAGTGTATTTCAGTCATTCTGCCTGTTCTGCTCCCCACTGTCTCTGGTATATACTCTCACCCCCCGCACCTCTGACCTACACCCCAGCTCTTGTATGCATAAATAAAATAAATCTTTACAAAATAAATTTTCTTGGGCCTCCCCAGTGGCACAGCGGGTTGAACACAGCGCTCTGAGGCTGTCCGCAGCCTCTGCGTTGCCAGTTCGATTTTCGGCTGGCCAGGGAGATTCCCACATGGCACAGCAAACCTCTTCTCCCTCTCACCCGCTAATCCCCTCAGTGTGGCAGACCTCTCCTGCCTCACCCGCTGCTCCCCTCAGCAGTATATTTCAGTTCTTCTGCCAGTTCTGCTCCCTGCTCTGTCTCTGGTGGATTCTCTCACCCTCCTGCGCCTCTGGCCTGAACCCCAGTGCTTATATAAGTAAATAAATCTTTAAAGAAGGAGTTTTAAAAAGTAATAAAATAAAA